ACACATAACACAAGTCTGGAAAATCAAAACATCAACATCTTAAGATTGGTTTTATCAGACTTCTAGGGTATATCTAGTCTTTATTTACTTTTCAAGTTCATTTGCACCGATTATGATTAAGAAAAGACTTTGTTTTGTTTTGTTTTTTAAAAGATAATGCATCCTGACACTCAGGTGGTGAATGTGGACCTTAAAATGAGGGATTGAGCCATGAAACACTGCAAGAGTAGAGTCTTCAGGGCTTGACAGCATGCTGGACTCAGGGAAAGCTGGAAGTAAGGCGGAGAGTTGTGCCTATGAGCCTGGGCAAGAAGTAGAGTAGGGAAGTCAGAGGACATGGCTCTTTTATGTGGGGTATCAGATGTTGATCATGTTAAGTTTGATGTGTGAAGAGAGATCCAGGAACAAGTGTCTAACAAGTTGGTGTGGTCATCAGAGATGAACCTTGTCCTGATTACCTGCACATTCACAAACCTGGGATTTATAGCTTCATTTTATTGGACATCAGTTTAATTTCAAAAAGTGGAATCATTTTCCCATGACATCTTGCCGAAGACACAACAGCTCCTGACTTCCTGTCTTACATTTCCCACTGTGATCCAAGTGGTAGGAAAAAAAGCAGCTAAAATAAGATTTTTTCCAAGTGTCTTTGGTGTTAGGAATGTAAACTTACTGATACTGGTGACACTTTCCATGTGGAATTGGTAAAACCCATTGGTGACCCAGATAAGACATTCGGACTATATTAACAGGTTTAATGATTTAACTGTAGAAATAGCCAGAGCCAGGTGTTTTGTTTTGTTTTGTTTTTTTCGTTTGAGTTGCCTTTTTTGGAGGGGATTTGTGGCCACATAGCATGTGGGATCTTAGTTCCCTACCAGGGTTTGAACCCGTGTACCCTGCAGTGGAAGCTCAGAATCTTAACCACTGAACTACCCGTGAAGTCCTTTGTTTCTTATTATTCTCCTCACTGGAGTTTGGAGCTCACATTCCTGTGGTCATGAGTGGCCCTCAATGCCCCTACATATCTCAGCCCATTTATCCAAAGTCTATAAATGTTCCCATTTGCACAGATGGATCAGTGTCAGTAGAGCTGATAACATGGGAACATACATTCTCATGGATACAGTTGTCACCTGTGTCTTAATGTGTGTTGATTTATGTATGAGAACACCCAGAAAGACAGACACATATTTTTATTGTGCTTCACAGACAATGCTGCTTCTTTTCTTTCTTTCTTTCTTTTTTAACAAACTAAACATTTATGACAGCTCAGTGTTGAACAAGTACATTGGCACCATTTTCCCTACAGTATTTGCTAACTTCATGTCTCTGTCACCTTTTGGTAATTCTCACAATATTTCAAGCCATTTTATTATTATTATATTTGTTTTTCTGATCTGTGATCAGTGTTTTTTAATGTTACTATCCAGTAAAGGCTTAGATGATGGTTAGCATTCTTTTAGCAATCAGTATTTGAAAATTAAGGTATGAATATTGTTTTTCATACATAATGCTATTGTGCACTAAGTAAACTACAGCATAGTGTAAACATAACTTTTTAAAAAATAACTTTATTTATCTTTGGCTGGGCTGGGTCTTCGTTGCTGCTCTGGGTTTTGTCTAGTTTCAATGAATGGGGGGTCACTAGTTGCAGTGAGCAGCTCTCTAGTTGCAGTGCACAGGCTTCTCATTGCGGTGGTTTCTCTTGTTGTGGCTAGGCCGTGTTGTGGTCTAGGCCGTGTGGGCTTCAGTAGTTGTGGTGCACCTTCTTAGTTGCTCTGTAGCATCTGGAATCTTCCCAGATTAGAGATTGAACCCATGTCTCCTACATTGATACGTATTCGTTGCTCAGTCATGTCTAACTCCATTGTGACTTCATGGATTGTAGCCTGCCAGGCTCCTCTGTCGATGGAATTCTCCAGGCAAGAATACTGGAGTGGGTTGCTATTTCCTTTTCTGGGGGATCTTCCACATTCAGGGATCAAACCTGAGTCTCCTGCATTGACAGGTGTGTTCTTTACAACTGAGCCACCAGAAAAGCCCCAGTCTTATCATTAGTGCACTGAATTTCTCTCTGCGTTGGTTTTAATGATGAGACTGACCCTTGACCTGTATCTTTCCAAGGTGCAATTGCAAGTATTAATGTGTTTATAAAATACCTTTTGAACTCTTTCAGTGAAAGGTCCCATATAAGTAGCAAATGTTGTGTTGATGTTGACTTCATTATGTGCATTTTGTCTACTGCCCTCTGTCTTATAAGACAGTGAGATCTGCATTTTATAATTTTAAGATATTTTCTTTCAAGATAGAATATAATTAAGATATTTAATATTAGGAAATGTTTTAGTTTTTCTACCAAAGAATAATTCCTCTTAAATAATTAGGCCTTGAAAAAGTGAATACCTTTTTTATGTGTAATACTTCTGACTTTACTTGTTGATATCTCCATAAAATTAGTCACATAATTCTCTAGGTCAAATTACTCAGGCTGTAGGAATAAAGCTAATTTAAAGGCTGACTTCTTATGGACCACTTAGGAGATCGCTGGCTTTTCACTGCCAGCAGGCTGTCATTTTTAACTCTTCTTGGGACTAGGGGGCTCTCAACCAGGGGACAGTTTTCAGTGTCTGAAATTTTTGGTTACCACAGTTTGTTTAGGGATTGCTACTGGTATCCAGTGGGTCGAGTTCAAGGCTACTGCTAAACACCCTACAATACACAGGACAAGCCCTCTTCCCCCAAGAATGAATTATCTGGCCCATAATGTCAACAGTACCATGACTGAGAAACTTATGGACTATTCTTTATATAGAACTTTTAACATTCATCATCAATAAGCAGCATTTCTCCCAGTTTTGTTGCATTTTGTTAATTCTTACTCTCTCCTGGATCTCTTTACAGCTTGGCATTGTAGGAAGAACAGGGGCTGGAAAAAGTTCCCTCATTGCTGCCCTTTTTAGATTGTCAGAACCTGAAGGTACCATTTACATTGATGACATCTCGACAACAAGTATTGGACTTCACGATTTAAGGAAGAAAATGTCAGTTGTACCTCAGGTATGCACTCACATGTTCTTTTCATAAACCACCTAAGTTTACTTTTCTTTTTTACTTATTTTTTATTTTTATGTTTTTCAAATTAAATGAAAGAGTTAATCCTTTTTACCCCTAGTAGTGCATATTTCTAGCAGCAGGTATTTTCAACAGACACTTTCATCATATACTAGGTTTTGTTTCTTTGTTTATTTGTTAGTTTTGTGTGCATGTGATTTAATAATTTACTGAGATGGATTTCTGGACTCAGACTTCCTCAAGTTCCACAATTTTATCCACTGATAACCACAAAATTCTGATAACGAAAGGGTAAATTGTTTGTTTAGTGCTGGAGAGGTTCCTATAGAGAAATGCGAATTTTAAGTGTCTTCTAGATAGAGCTTTGCTGTAGGAAATGAGGACATCTTTTCAAAGGTGATTATGTCCCTGAAGGGTGTTCTGTGAAACTGTGGGGCTTTGAGAATTGCAGAGTGTATGGATGCTATGGAGAGACTTTGACAAATCAGCCATTAATAAGTAATTTTCTCCAGGCAGTCAGTACAGAATAGTGAGGAGGAGAAAGGGACTTGGAATTCCATCTTTGTGCTCCTCAGTTTTCTCTGTCTTACAAGGCAGCTAACAATACCAACCCTTCGAGCTGCTCTGAGGGCAAAATAGGTCAGTGCATGGTATAGAGTGCTTCACCCTGAGACCCAGTGTGTGGCTGCTGTGATGGTGGAGCATTGAATTGACCGTCTCTCCCTCAGCTCTGATTCTGTTTTCTTTTCTTCTGCTTCTTATAGAAGTATGACTTTCAGAGAGTGTGTTGGAAATTGAAGTATATGCACAGTAGAAGCTCCTGTCTTTCTTTGTGGTTTATCCACTCAACATACTTTAGTGAATATTTACTGAGTAATTACCATCCTCCAGGTATACTGTTGTTGTTCAGTTACGTGGTCGTGTCTGACTCTTCAAGACCCCATGGACCTCACCATCTCCCAGAGTTTGCCCAAGTTCATGTCCATTTCGTCCAGTGATGCCATCCAGCCATCTCACCCTCTGTTGCCCTCTTCTTCTGCTTTCAGTCTTTCCCAGCATCAGAGTCTTTTCCAATGAGTCAGCTGTTTGCGTCAGGTGACCAAAGTATTGGAGTTCAGCTTCAGCATCAGTCCTTCCAATGAGTATTCAGGGGTGATTTCCTCTAAGATTGACTGGTGTGAACTCCTTGCCCTCCAAAGGCCTCTCAAGAGTCTTCTCCAACACCATGGTTGGAAAGCATCACTTCTTTGGTGCTCTGCTTTCTTTATGGTACAGCTTTGACAACCATTCATGACCACTGGAATGACCACAGCTTTGACTATACAGACCTTTGTCAGCAAAGTGATGTTTTTGCTTTTTCACACACTGTCCAGATTTGTCATAGCTTTCTTGCCAAGAAGCAGTCGTGTTCTAGTTTCATGGCTGCAGTCACCATCCATAGTGACTTTAGAGCCTAAGAAGAGGAAATCTGTCACTGCTTCCACCATTTCCCTTTCTATAGGCCATGAAGTGATGGGGCTTGAAGTCATGATCTTAGCTTTATTAATATTTAGTTTTAAGCTGGCCTTTTCACTCTTCTCCTTCACCCTCATCAAGAGGTTTTTTAGTTCCTCTTCTATTTCTGCCATTAGAGTGGTATCATCCACATATCTGAAGTTGTTGATGTTTCTCCTGCCAGTTTTGATTCCAGCTTGTAACTCTCCAGCCCAACATTTCTCTTGATGTTCTCAGCATATAAGTTAAATAAACAGGGTAAATAAACAGTAAACAGCCTTGTTGTACTCCTTTCTCAATCCTAAACCAGTCAGTTGTTCCATGCAGTGTTCTAACTTGCTTCTCGACCCACACACAGGTTTCTTAAGAGACAAGTAAGATGCCCTGGTATTCCCATCTCTTTTAAGAGTTTTCCACAATTTGTTATCATCCACACAGTCAAAGGTTTTAGTATAGTCAGTGAAACAGAGGTAGATGTTTTTCTGGAATTCCTTTGTTTTCTCTGCTACTGCTGCTGCTGCTAAGTTGCTGCAGTCATGTCTGGCTCTGTGCGACCCCATAGACGGCAGCCCACCAGGCTCCACCGTCCCTGGGATTCTCCAGGCAAGAATACTGGAGTGGGTTGCCATTTCCTTCTCCAATGCATGGAAGTGAAAAGTGAAAGTGAAGTCGCTCAGTGGTGTCCGACTCTTTGCGACCCCATGGACTGCAGCCTACCAGGCTCCTCCACCCATGGGATTTTCTAGGCAAGTGTGCTTTCTCTAAGATCCAGCAAATGTTGGCAATTTGATCGCAGGTTTCTCTGCCTTTTCTAAGCCCAGCTTGGACATCTGGAAGTTCTTGGTTCAGCCCAGCATGCAGAATTTTGAGCATAACCTTATTAGCATGGAAGATGAGTGCAATTGTCCAGAAGTTTGAATATTCTTTAGTACACTCCTTCTTGGGTATTGGGATGAGAATTGACCTTTTCCAGTCCTGTGGCCACTGCTGGGTTTTCCAAATTTGCTGACATACTGAGTGCAGCACTTTGATAGCATGATCTTTTAGGATTTTAATAGCTCTACTGGAATTCCCTTGCCTCCGCTAGCTTTGTTTGTGCATGCCAAGTTGCTTCAGTCATGTCTGACTCTCCACAGATCCTATGGACTGTAGCCCCCCAGGCTACGGTCCATGGGATTCTCCAGGCAAGAATTCTGGAGTGGGTTGCCATGCCCTCCTCCAGATCTTCCCAACCCAGGGATCAAACCCACGTCTCTTATGTCTCCTGCATTGAAAGGTGGATGCTTTACCATTAGTGCCACCTGGAAGCCCAATTTTGTTGGTAGTGATGCCTTCTAAGGCCCACTTGACTTCACACTCCAGAATGTCTGGCTCTGGGAGAATGACGACAGCATGGTGGTTATCTGTGTCATTAAGATCCTTTTTGTATAGTTCTTCTGTGTATTCTTTTCATCTCTTCTTGATATCTTCTGCTTCAGTTAGGCCTTTACCGTTTCTGTCCTTGATTGTGTCCAGGTATATAGCCAAGGGCAATGTAGGCCAGGTGTCCTGATCTTCCATCCTGCCCTCTGTTTTGACAGACTTACTGTTTTTTTTTTTTAATTTTGAGATTTTATTTTTGTACTCCATAATCATCTGCTTATCAAACAAAGCTCAGAAAAAACCCTCTTGAGATGGGAAACAGAGAAGAGATGAGACACAAAGAGCCAGGCAAATATGCTTCCTGGAATGTGGGTGTAATGTGCCCTGAAATGGCTGTTTATTAGGAAGCATTTCAACATGGCACCCAAAGGGAAGGAGAATGTGGGCTCGGGCCTTATGACTGAGTACAGCTGTTTCTATCTACTGGTGGCCTCTAAAATACCTGGAATTACTCTAAGTACCCTTATTTTTTCTAATTAGTTTGTTTTTAATTGAAGGATAATTGCTTTACAATATCACTTTGGCTTCTGCCAATATCAACATGGATCAGCCATAGGTATACATATGTCCCCTCCCTCTTGAACCTCCTTCCCACCTCATTGCACCCCTCTAGGTTATCACTGAGCACCAAATTTGAGTTCCCTGCATCATACAGCAAATTTCCATGGTCTATCTAATTTTACATATGGTAATGCATATGTCTAAGTAATTTTGAAACCAAGATATAGCTTTTCAGACTACAGTGAAATGCTACCTCATAGCCCTTAAGACATCTACTATCAAAAAAGAAAAATGAAAGAGAGAAAGAAAGAAAATGGGTTGGCAGTATTGGCACAGATGTAGAGAAATTAGAATCCTTGTTCATTGCTGATACGAATATAAGATAGTGAAGCCACTGTGGAAAACAAGTTGGTCAATTCTCAAAAAAGTTAAAGTTAGAATTATTATATGATCTAACAATTCTACTTTAGAGTATAAACCCAAAAGAATTGAAAGAAAGATCTTGAAGTGTTACCTGTACTTGAGTGTTCATAGCAGCATTATTCTCAGTAGCAAAAAGGTGGAGGCACCTAAAGGTCCATTGATAGATGAATCAATAAACAAAATGTAGTGCATATATGTATACAGTGGAGTATTATCCAGCCTTAGAAACGAAGGGAATTCTGACTTGTGCTACAATACAGATGAACCTTGAGGAAATTAAGCTAAGTGAAATAAGCCAGTCACCAAGGACAAATACTCTATGATTCTACTAATATGAGATGCCTAAAGTACTAAATTCATGGGGACAGAAGGTAGAATGGTGGGTTCCAGGAGCTGCTGGGAGTGGCGAGTTGTTGTTTAATGTCTACAGAGTTTCAGTTCTGAAAGACAAAAGGAGTTCTGTGGCTGGATGGTGGTGATCGCTGTGCAACAGTGTAAATGTACTTAATACCTCTGAATTGTGCACTTGCAGCTGGTCAAGCTGGTAAATTTCATGTGTATTTTACCACAATTAAAAAAAAAATTTAAAGGTATCCCTTTCGGGAAAAATGTGAAGAATTTTTTAGCAGGAAGAATTTTTCAGTCTCCACATTTAAGGCTTATCTCTGGCTATTTAATTCATGATTTGTGGTTACAGTAGAAAATAAATGAGTTTAGATTCCCAAGTTTTACGTTTTGATGGTACTTATCTCTGAAATGTCCAAGTGAGATTAGTTAGTAGAGATAAGGGCACGTCTGTAGAGTCCTTTCATTTTCTTTGATGCAAAGCTTTCAAAACATACCCTGCCTTATTTTTAAAGCTTCTTAATTAGAAAGAATTGTATGCTTGTGTACATAAAATAACTCCATAAGTAAAGAAATAACATTAGAATATCCTTGGCTCTGCCAATAATGTTTGGAAGCACATCTGAGCAAAGACTAAACATACCTTTGCATCAACGTAGTTTGGTTCGGTTCTGTTCTGTTGATTTCCACCCTTCCTTTGAGCATGTTCAATGTACACACTCCAGAGAGCATCCTTACAAAATAGTGTCAAGCTTTGTATACATGTAGATTCCTCTCTATATGCCTTTGTGTCTAATCAC